GTATTGAATGCGTAAGTGGCCTGAACAATGAATTGCGGTGATCATCCGATGTACTAGTCCGTGCTTTTATCCTGCGAGGGAGACTGATACCGACTAACCGATCCCGGAGGGGAGGAAGGCTTGGTTATCCTAGGCGGATATCGGTCTGAGATTCGAACCCGTGACCATGCGTGTGAGATATCTACTGGATATTGCCCGCTAATGTTTTACCCCAGCCACTGATTACCAGCCTTAATATTTCTTCTGGATATCGCGCTATCGGTAGCAGATTCAATCTGATCTCTGGTTCATCATGGGGATGAATCAATCGGTCTCATAGAGTTTCAAGGTTCCTTCTATCGCTTCCAGATTGGCTTATTGATACCGGATTCGTGTGAGAAGATGAAAGCACTGACTTTTACATCGGCTCACCACCTCAAGTTGTTGAATAGGCCACGTACGCATTCGAAATGTAGTTACTATTATGAATGGAAGTCTTGTGTGGGGCGCATCCCAGAACGGGATTCATTAGTATCTAGAGGCTTTACCCATTATTTTTTTGAAACTGATGTAAATGCCAGTAAGAAGTGCAAAAGTAGGGGGCACGTGATTAATAAGGAACATGTGATCATTATGAATAAGGAACGGAAAACGATTCCCATTCAGGTGAGGGGCGATATCTGTGGGATAGAAGATGCTTTATAGAGCTATAGCTACCTTCTGTAGTCGCCCAGAGTGACAGGGAGACCACCAGACCACCTCCTGATGTGGGGCACGCCTTTGAATGGGTAGCGACTGAGGTTATGCAGAGGAGTTAATACTAACCACCGAGACAAGTCATGCCTCTGAAAAACTGGGTAGCCGACAATATATGGTAAACTGCCCAGACATCTCTCTTTCCCTGTTTTTTTCTCCCACTTTCGCTGAAAAACTCCCAAACTGAATGTCTTGGTTTTTTGTGGGTGATCCCGAACTTTTTTGGTTTTTTTTGCCGATAGCTTCGGGCCACACTCGGGAGCATCGGGCCACTTCCTGTTTTCCACTTTTTTGAACCACTCAATTCATTTCCTCCGCATCCAAGCTAAGGCTTGTTTTTAAGCTGACAAAAGTTCGATCTCACCTTAACTTTTGTCACTGTTGTAGCTCTAGAATTAAGTTGTTTTATTTTTTAAAAAAAGCATAATGGTAAACAAATGCGGTATATTCTAAAGGTGGTGTATTGGCAAGTAGCACACTTCACACACGCATGGTCACGGGTTTGATTGCCGGATCGATATCCGCCTAGGCCAACCAAGCCCTGCTTCACTCCGGGGTCGGCTAAATTGGTACCAGACTCATCGATGGAGGCAAAAGCAGCGACTTGTACATTAGCTGGCCACCGCAAATCATTGTATTGGCCAAATACGCGTTCGATTCGCTACTACGATTCAGAATGGAAGTTGAATGCGGGGCGCATCCATCAGACAGGATTGACTAACACCCGAAAACTTTATCAAATCTTCAATATTCAGGAGGTTACTGAATGTAGAGGCTACTTGTGCACGGTGCAATGTTCGGGGGAGGGGGAGGGGGG